GAGCCTTTCGAGCCCCTGTATTCGACAAGTTTAACTCATTTGAGTCTCGAGATGGCCATGTCGGTCACGTAATTTGGGAGATGCCCTCATTACTTTGGTTTTCTAACGAATGTGGATGGTGACTTGTGATTTCACCGAAATGCATGCCAATTCCCTCACTATCCGTCACGTAATCTATAATTCTGACTTCCTTAAGTTAGGAGGTCCGATCTTTGAGGTCGACGCGGAGGAAATGAAGAGAAAAATGGGGGAAATAGACAGAACGACACTTGTGTCGTTCTGTCAGTAAACACGAGTTTGAGCAATCACGAGCCTTTCGAGCCCCTGTATTCGACAAGTTTAACTCATTTGAGTCTCGAGATGGCCATGTCAGTCACGTAATTTGGGAGATGCTCTCATTACTTTGGTTTTCTAACGAATGTGGATGGTGACTTGTGATTTCACCGAAATGCATGCCAATTCCCTCACTATCCGTCACGTATTCTATAATTCTGACTTCCTTAAGTTAGGAAGTCCGATTTTTGAGGTCGACGCGTAGGAAATGAAGCGAAAAATTGGAGAACGGCACTTGTATCGTTCTGTCAATAAACACGAGTTTGAGCAGCCACGAGCCTTTCGGGCCCCTGTATTCGACAAGTTTAGCTCATTTGAGTCACGAGATGGACATGCTACTCACAACATTTGAGAGATACTCGCATTACTTGGACAACATGAAAAATGAGAACAACACTAGTGCTGTTACTGTTTTTGAAAACAGCACAAGTGTCGTTAGTTATGTAAACACAATACGAATAATTGATAACTTATATATTTATAAATAAATTGTCATTAAATCAATAATGTTTAATTTCTGAAGAATATTTTTATATTTTCTGGGTAAAATACAAAAAATGGCACCAGTGATGTTTCGATATGACAACAAAATATATCTGCCATTATGGCTTTATCGATTCTAAGATAATGACAAAATGAATCATTCCAAAGATTTTAAATAGTTTACATTTAGGAATGACAAAAGCAGTACATCATAACACCACCGTCCTTTTTAATACTACAAAAGAAGCACATCATAAAAGTCAAAATTCAACAGATGTGCGGTTTTATCTTCATCATTCATGTCTCTCGCTAAGTGGTACACGATCTGTACAAGTGATACGGTTATGCCCAGTTTTCAAACACCTACTGCACTTACGAGACTTGCGCACCTCTCCGGCTGATTGTTTCCTTTTTTTTTGGTGGATGTCCACTTCCTCTTCGTGTCAACGGTCGTATCACCTTTCTTGATCGAACACTATCGGGAATTTCCCAGTCCACCTCATTTAACAGTGGATATATATATTCAGAATAAGCTTGTTTCCAGTAAGAAGTGCTATAAAATGGAGAGCAAAACTTGTAACAGTTGTCTCCAACATCCCTTACTACTGCAATTGCATGTGCACATGGAAATTGGTCCAGATCAAATTCCTTACATGTGCATGTCCCCCTCTCCAAATTAACAATGAAACTTTCCATTTTATCACTCACTTGCATTTCATCTGGGCTAAGAGCTTTTACCTCAAAACCTTTTGACTCATTATACCTATCGTACATTTTCTCCTCCATTGGCGGGGTGAAATAGCTTGTACATTTTTCGGCATCAATGCTCCTATCATGAAACCAACTCTGCATCTTTTCCCTGATATACTCGATCAAAGCAAGTATAGGAAATTCTCGAGCACTTCTCAACAATGAATTTAATGATTCTGCATTATTTGTGGAATGAATTTAATGATTCTGCATTGTTTGTGGTCATAGTATTGTATCTGATTCCATTGAAATGTGCTCTTGACCAATACTCCACGCCAACCTCTTCCTCTAAGTATTCTCTGATTTTCTCGTGTAGACTGCACAATGCTTGCATATTAATCTCAAATTTTGCCAAACTATATGCCTGTGCAGTAGCTCTAAACAATGGCACAATATCTATGCGAGGGAATTTGCTCTTCAAGTTAGTTTGCAAATGCCATATACAATGTCTATGATGTGCGTTAAGATAGACGCTGTTGAAACCATTTGATATGCTTGTTGCACGGTCAGATATAAAGACTAGCTCGTCTGTGTCATCGGTTATCTGTCGTAACTTCTGAAAGAACCAAGTCCATGAGTCATTGTTTTCTGAATCCACTATGCCCCACGCAAGTGGATAAATTTGACGATTTGCATCTTGGCATGTGGCAACAAGTAACGTACCTCGATACTTAGATTTCAAAAATGTTCCATCCACACATATTACCCGTCGAATTGAAGAGAGAAATCCACGTATGCTTGGTCCTAATGCCATAAAAAAATACATGAAATGTCCATCATTATTGGTTTCAATAAAGGTCAACGTACCAGGATTATTTTTCTCCAGAATGTGACAATACATTGGTAACTTTGCATAGCTATCATCAGGGCTACCTCGAACCTCTTTGTAAGCAAATTCTTTGGCCATATACGCCTTGTGATATTTTATAGTTATGCCAAACTCTCGACGAACGTCATTGATAATGTTTCTTGGTCTGTACACTATGTTGGCATCATGATATTTTGGAGCTACATGTTTTCCAATTACCGAATAGGTAGCATGTCTATTATCCCTGCGACGAACACTCATAGAGCAAATGTGATGGCTAGAATATTTTCGTATTTGAAAAATCTCAGATTCAGCTATGCTCGTTGCCCGTAAACGCCAGTTACAAATTTTCTCAACACAAACGACTGTATAAACACTCTTATTTGATTTCTTCACTTTAAATTCAAATTGGTACTTCACGGCAAGTAGCTGGAGTTTTGATATCAAAGCACTTTTAGTTGGAAATAGTTCATCATCATGTACATCCTCATTTTCTGGAATCCTAACTGATGATCTATAAGGAATTGAACACAGGACTTGTGTTGAAGTACCAATAATGTCCTCTTCCATGGAGAAATCAACATTGTTTTCATTTCTCGGAGGAGATTTATCTTCGAAATCTTGTTGTTCGGAACTACCTTGAATTATATGCAAGTTATCCCAATCCACAGAGTTTCCTTCTTCTACGTTATCATTTCCATGATCGCCATCATATAGCTCAACTTCATTTTGATGGCTCACATCTCCCTTTTCTACTTCACCATTAGTTTCTACTCCACAATCTCTTTCAAACTCCCTTACACTATCACATTCACCTGTAACTTTAGTCGAAATAGTCACGCAAAGAGGATGTTTTTTACAAATAGAAAGAAACCACTTCACTTTCATGTCACTGTTAATCCTTTGTGGTGGAACTGAAAACTTAGACATTCCAGGATTAAGGGACATCATCTCAATTTCATATAACTTTGAATCCACATTAACAAGTTCTTGCACTTTGTTGTACAACTCTATATACGAAATGCTAGATGGAACATAAAGAATATCCACATTTTCTTCACCGTTTCCTATATAATCCCATGTCCATTTGCTTTCTTCAGTCTTTTTAAACTCGACAAAATAGCATACTTGTACCCATATCATTTCTACAGAATCCATACCTGTAAAAAAAAAAAAAGTTAAATAATTTACTCAAGTATATATCAAAGTAATATAAAAATAGTTACCATATTTGAATGATCAAAGTAACCACAATATATCATCAATAATGGACAGATCATAACAGATAACGGTTGTACTATCGTTTTACATGGTAGATAACGACTGTAGTGTCGTTCTGAACTACTAATAACGACTGGAGTGTCGTTATCGTCCAATAGTTGCGGACGATGCAAATATACACCAAATGCGAAAATAAAATCAACTAAAATATCATTTTATACTATATTCAACAATAAAAATACCAATATAAATGAGATTTCTAAAAATACCTTTCTTCTTTCTTTAAATATAGTAGAAATTTCAATGTGGATAATGTAGACACCAAAATCCTTGTTAAAATGCTCAAAATATTAGAGAAGATAGATGAAGAATGCAATGAATAACAAGATTTTAAGGAAGCATCCACCGGGAAAGCACGTCCACTGATTTTTGCTGATGATTTGAGGGATTTAATTGGATTGAAATGTGTATTTGAGTCTTTTCAATGGTGAGGGTATTTTAGACATTTGATCTTATTTGTTTTTTGTAAGTGGAGGCTATTTTATCAAATAACATTGAAGGAATGTTATTTTACAAATAACATTGTTTGACTGGGCTTTTTTATCAAATTCCCCGTTGTTTTTTGGTTAAAATGTGTAATTCGGCCTTATACTCTCCCCTCTGTTTGGCAGCAACCCAATCGATCGCTTGGTGGAAGCAAGAAGTTTGAATCGGCCTATTCTACTAAAATTTCGAATAACGATTCCAAATTCATTTTGATCTTTCTAACAAACTCCCTGTAAAAATGTAAAAAATCAACAAACAAGTTGGGTTGAAAAATAGGAATTGGAATTTGATTATTGCTTTCTATTCCATTTATCTCGTATGAGAAAAAGAATTGAGCGTTCATTTGGGACTACGTGTGATCTGCTTAAGGTAGCTTGACGAGTTCAGTGGACAGAATAATCGAAAGTGCACCATTATTCAATTATTTTAGTATTAAGCCTCTATTTTTGAGCTATATTTTTCATATTTTTTTTATTTTAATCACATATTTTTTAATAACATAATTTTAATAGTAAACTTAAATTTTTTTCCTTCTATTTTCTAATCACTCATTCTAATAATAATAATAATACTCAATTTTTTTTACAAAAGTTGTCTGAAAAGGAGCTGGAATAAAGGCTAAATGGATACTCCAGCATTACTGTTATTAACTTGTTACCATTTTCAGTGGAGAATAAGATATTTTCTTGTTCTCTACCAAGAAAATAAGAAAGAAAAATAGTTTATTTCGAAAATAACTTTATTTATTTAACGGTGTGATGATTCCACCGCAGGAACCGCAGACAGCTGTTGGGGGGAAGACTTGATGATTCTATTGACGACGTCATTTATGCTCCTTGCTTCCTCTCTGAAGATTTCTATATTCTCCTCTCGCTCGAAGTTCCGTGGTCTACAAACCCTAGGTTTGTACAATTTCCAGTTGATTATACCTATTGGACTTGGAACTGGTCAAAACGATTCAACATATCGGTGGAATATGTAATTACATTTTAATGTAATTTTTGCTGTTTTATCTGGTTAATTCGTGGTCTTGTGTTTGATTGGATTATGAAGATTGAACCTTTTTATGCGATGCGTTGAGATGCATTAGTTGTTTTACTTTTATAACGTATATGTTTAAATGTTCAGTTACTTGTTGAGATGTTATGCTAATTTCGATTTGTTCATTACACCTTTGATTTACCTTCAGTGATATTGGAGCTTGCCATGTATGAACTTAGCTCGAATGGCAATAGCATATTTTGATATTTTCAAGTGAATAATTTGTAAAAATCGATCAGCTGCTCTTTTCATTTTTCAATGCATCACCGAAAAACAGATTGTGAGGAGATAGTATCATAATCTCATGCTCCATTCTTTTTCAGTGACTAAATATTTACATTTATTTTATCCAAAAAAAAAATGAAAATTAGAGTTAATGTACAACTTGAAGTTATAATGGACTATAACGTAAATTAGAGGAATTCCTGCACACTCCGAAGCGTAATTATGCTTTTATTTGCCATTGTTTCTTTGCAGTTTTTTAACTTCTGGACCTCATTTGTTCTTCAGAAGGTTTATGTGGAGATACGTAGCTTGTCTACATATCAGTCCATAATCCTGTCTAAATAATCATTCGGGTGATTGTTGAGAAAAATTGCAGCTGCATTTTGAACCAATTCTTATCTAAAGAGGTCAAGGGAGTTGAGTTTGAAAAATCACAAAAACTATTGGCTGGGTGTTATCTGCATCTGTCTATACTTTTGGAAGGTCCTTCAGTTGGAGATTGATATTTAGTTGGAATAGTTTCCTTTGGCAAAAATATTGAGTTGAAAGTTTCATGCTGTGAATGTGTTGCAGCTACATAAATTGGGTATTCAGAAGGAAAATGATAATTTATTTGAAGAAACTTCATATTTTCTTGAGTCCCGCCTCTTTTGGCTATATTCAGTTGAAGTGTACTGGGATGTCAAGGTGTAAAGGGGGTGTTAATTTTTGATACAAGGAGAAATTATGGAACTGGTATCAGGAAAAAGGTTTCCTCTTGATGCTAAAGATTATAAGTTATACGAGGAAGTTGGCGAAGGTGTTAGTGCGACTGTGTACAGAGCTATCTGCATTCCTCTTAATGAAATAGTTGCAATCAAGGTTCTTGATCTTGAGAAGTGTAACAGTGACCTGGTATGTTATCTTCTTAATTAACTTGAACAGTGACGACAGTTCATGGTTTTACGCGGCTTGTATTCTATATTTGCTTTTTGCATATGTTTCCAAGTGACTCCCGTTTGAATCAAGCTTGTTTTTGCCCACATGACTAGATAGTGCAGCAATCATACTTATGTTCTACAAGATGTATTTTTGGTTGCTTTCTTATGCTTGTTGTTCAAAATAAATATGACTGCTGCTTTCTAGTCATCCAGTGAGGGTCATATCTAACTTTTCAAATAAAATTTTAATATAAATTTTATATCAGCACACTTGATTTAGGTATAACGGTTCGAAGAAACATGGCTGTATAGAATACAACACTATCTGCATATTTTTGGTTTTGAATCAAATAAAATTTCTAGAAATCATTTGTGCTAAGTACAAATTAAAAAAAAGAAAAAAAGAAAGAAAAAAAAAAAGATTTCATAAATATCACATATTGATGGTGGGGAATTTGTCTCTCTTAGTTCTGGACATGGCTAAGGTATAAAGATATGCATGGTTTACTGTTTCTTATCTTACTTAAATCTTACCTCACGTTTGAAGTTATGTTCATTGCAAGTATTTGCTCCTTTATTTTTTCAAACTTTTACTTTTTGGGTGTGATATGACTAGGATGGTATCCGCCGAGAGGTACAGACAATGATTTTGATTGACCATCCAAATGTAGTACGAGCACATTGCTCCTTCACTACTGGCCATAACCTTTGGGTTGTAATGCCTTACATGGATGGGGGATCTTGCCTTCATATAATGAAATCATCATATCAAGATGGTTTGGAGGAGCCTGTTATCGCTACATTATTACGCGAGGTCCTCAAAGCTCTTGTGTATCTTCATTTCCATGGACACATTCATAGAGATGTGAAGGTATGGGTTTCTCATGGGTCAATTTTTACTTGAATGGAAGTTTGTATTTCTCTGTTCTGCTATGTATTTTTTAATTCAATCATTTCCATTGAAAAACATGTTCTGTACATCTACTTGGATACAGTGTGAGGATTGGTTGTCCAATAAGATCTTTAATTATTTTATATTCATTTGGTAGTAAATAAACTTATTCATGTTGCTTTGACAAAATGTACTCTACTCTCATTTCTACTTCATAGTTAAAATGTCATGTCTTTGTGTTTTTTATTATATCTCTAAGCGGGTAAAATGGTATATCCCTTTATGGTAGAAGTTCTAATTCTATCCTCCCTGTAAACAGTTTTTTCTCTTCTTCCTAAGTTGGTTCTGGCAACATATGACACAATTAACATAATTTTGCAGGCTGGGAATATATTGATTGATTCTGATGGCGCTGTTAAATTAGCAGACTTTGGAGTATCTGCATGCATGTTTGACACTGGTGATCGCCAACGTTCTAGAAATACATTTGTTGGAACTCCATGCTGGTAGGTGTTCCCTGTTGGCAATTGCTTTCAGTCATATTATTGTAGAAAACGGTTAATATTAACTTGGGTATTTTTCTTCCTTAAATTATATCAGGATGGCTCCGGAAGTTATGCAGCAATTGCATGGATACGATTTTAAGTGAGTTTTTCCTCCAAACAATTTTAATATATTTTTTTAATGTAATTCACTTTCTAAGTTCTTTTGCAATATAATTTGTATAAACAGAGCAGATATTTGGTCATTTGGAATAACAGCTCTTGAACTTGCTCATGGTCATGCTCCATTCTCTAAGTATCCACCAATGAAGGTTGGTAATTTACCCTAATCAGCCTTTTGCATCGTGAGTACATTATATCTTTTGTGTGATCATTCTACCCTTCCTTTAAGTGCAGGTTCTCCTGATGACCCTGCAGAACGCACCACCAGGGCTTGACTATGAAAGAGACAAACGATTTTCCAAGGTTTTTCTTGTTTTACAAGGCATTTTTTCTAAAACTGGTATGTTACAAGAATTAATGAGCTTAATTTTGTGCACTTTTTCTGAAACTGCAACCCATTTTCAGTCTTTCAAAGAACTGGTTGCTGCTTGCTTGGTGAAGGATCCCAAAAAGCGTCCCACGTCAGAAAAGCTTCTAAAGCACCATTTCTTCAAAAATGCACGCAACACTGATTATTTAGCCCGTACTATCCTTGATGGCTTGCCCTCTTTAGGTGAACGGTTTAGGATACTCAAGGTATTATGCTCATTTCATGCATTTTAATGTACTTCCTTTCTGTGGAGTTGATTATCTCTATTTCTGCAAAATCAAATGTTATTTCAGGCAAAAGAAGCAGATCTTCTTGTTCAAAATAAGGCTTTGTACGAGGACAAGGATCAATTATCACAGGTGATAAATCAACTATGCCATATATTACCAATTTTTTAGGGAACAAAGCGGATTTTATTAACTCAAATTTGAATTCCGTACTGTCATCTTTCTTCACAGTGGTAGCAGTGCCCCTCCATTGTAATATCTTAATTTCAGAGTTAGAGCTTGAAACTAATTGTGTGCTATCTGGGCAGCTAAAATGCTGCTGACAAACAATCAGGAGTAGAATTTAATTTCATGCCAAATTCGCAGTGTTGTCTGTCTCACGCTTGTTGGGGTCCACGTTTGACTGGGATTATAATGTATATTCATATACTGCAGAATACCTGGATCCTACCAAGGAAGAAAGATGCTATACAATAATAAAGAGGAAAAACATGCACCCAACAAATTATTGTCCTCCACAGTAGCATAGAATGCTGAAAGGTTATTATGGATCAGATTAACTTTTCTATCAATGAAAAGATGTCATGGTGCTCTGCGGAGCCTTGTGTATATAAACTACATTTTTAACTTGTCAATATTTCTATGATTCTTGAATAAGATACTGGAAGATGTCATGAAAAGGCACTTTTGGATTTAGCTGTTACCTTTTGCATATGTGAACTGTTTTTTGGTCTATTTAACTTAGGGAATCAGAAATGGATTAGTCTGATGTCAGGTAATTATATCATGCACAAGAAACATATTTGCAACATTTGCTGGTTGGTTGACTCAGATGTAACAATGCAACTGGATCTGAAACTTGAAGAAATTAAATGTCGAAAGGATATCTGTGGAATTGTTGGCCAAAAATGGGATATAATTGGGAAAGAAATTCAAGGAAATATTATAGGATGAATATGAAGGAGTGACTTCAATAAAGAACGGGATACACTTTCTACGTCATAAGCCAACTTAAATTGTATATTAATCGCCGCTGTTATATGTGTGGGTATATAGTGGTTTTTGCTTCTGTTGATAAGTAAGATTTTCCTATTGGTGCTTGTAATTCAATATTTTCTTCCTTAACTGAATAGTAATAGATGAGATGCGATAAATGTTGCATAGAATCAGTAGTTTGTTTTACAATATTATCATGCTTGTATTTTCAACATCTTAGTTGACCCTTGGCTGATCTTAATGTGCAGCAAGAGTATATGCGAGGAATCAGTGCCTGGAATTTCAATCTGGAGGATCTGAAGAATCAAGCTGCCCTTGTATAGTCCATTGATCAGTTCGTAATATGATTGAATCATTTGAATGCCGCTTTAATAAGTTGAGCTTCTTCCGCTTTGTTTTCTGCAGATTCAGGATGATGCTATTTCTAATTCAGAAGATTCGAGTGTGAGTGGCAAGCAGAGGAACGGGCAAGATGACGCTGGTACTCCTCCAGATGGGGTATCTCCTGATCGGGCCAATCATTCAAATGATGCGCAGCAGCTGGAGGTATAGTTGTTATTCAATATGTAGTTCCAATTTCCATAATGTTGTTCAGTACTTTCCTTTAGACTCTCCCTTTCCTTCTCTCTTTTGCTCTGTGCTTTGGGTCCCCCAATCCCTTGTAGTTATCTGATAAGTGCTGTTTAATCTTTATTTTCTCAGGACGGACTCAATGATATTCATGATCTGGAGAATTCGCTTGCTGCATTTCCCATGAAACCTCTTCAGGCACTCAAGTATGGTGCCTCTGTTTTGCACAACTAGAAAAATACGTTTTCATTATTCTTGGATTGTATATAATATATTCAAGGGACCTTCTATTGCAATCTCTATCAAAATTCATGTCTCCAGCTGCATGTTGTTATCAGTCAGCAGTTTTCACGAATGTGTTATATATGTGCTATATTACAAAGACTCTTCTATTAAGATGGAATACCCATTTTTGAGCCGTTTCAGATATCACACAATGAACTTAAATGCCCTAGAGAATACCCGTGTTGAACAAGGAATTTTATCCGACGCTTCCCGCCAAGTCTAAGTAACAATGTGTATGTGCACAAACTAAATAGGGAGGATTCTGCTCGTGGATTTGGAGGTTTACACGATCATAAAATGGAAATCTGGCCAGCATATAGTCAGTCAAAACATTTTATTAATCCATCTTTGATCAGCCTGAAATTCCACTATCTGTTGCACATTACAAATTCTTAGTTCCCTGGTGTAGGATGGGTTCCAGATCCTATTGAACATGTCATCTGTCAACAGAACACACATTTGTGTCTTGCACACTTATTTTAAAATAATAAAGTAAGGGTTATTACATATTTGATTGCTTTTTCTAGCTTGAATGCAAGCATGCTTGTATAAGGGCCATGACATCTATTTCCTTGATTTTGGCTTCTATCTTCTCAAAACATGCTCATTCAACTAAGTCGATAAAATCTTTACAGATAATCTATGTTTGTGTTTATAGTGACAATTGTTGGTAGCTTGTTAATTACAAAATGATTTATTTGATTCATCTTTTGGAGAAAAATTAATGAGAAATTTTTTATTAAATGCAGAGGTTGTTTTGATGTAAGTGAGGATTACATGGATGCTGGTCGTCCAAATTGGAAAAATTCTGCACGCTCAGATTCTGAACATCAAAGTCAACAATATGCATCAGCAAAAGCCGAGGATCAAGAAACTGGAAGAGATGATGGTGAAAGTACTTGTCAAAGTGGCTCCTTACCACCACCTGCCATTTCAGGACATAAATTTTTTCCAAGCGGTTCACTATTACAGGATAATGTTCAATCTCCTAAAAAATTTATAGGTGATGGAGACAGGTATGCTGTCCTCTTCATGGTCCAGTATATATGAGTTCTATTTTACAACTCTTGACCGGTTTGCTCTGTAGCTCGAACACTTCAACTAGAGTAGCGTGTCCATGTCTGAGTCTTGTTCGATACCGACACTCTTCGGACACTCTGTCACGGTCATTTTTTTCTTTATCAAAAATACCATGTATTTTTAACTTAAAAGTTATTATTAAATAACAAATAGATATTCACATTTAAAAGATTTTGAAAACAAAAATTAATAATAAATATAAAACTAAATTTATACTATATGAATGAAGAATTCAATCAACGTGTCAACAAAATGTTGCATCGGTACGTTTTTGAAAAATCACGTGTTGGGCACAGGTATTCGTGTCGGTGCTTCATAGCCAATCTGTATATATTTGATGAATAATTGCATGCTTTAAATTCTAATAGGTAAATGCATGGTCTTGGTGTTGGATATAAGGGTCTGATGTATGATTTCAAATTTAAAGTAAAATTCATTCTTTTCCTCTTGTCAATTTGAACTTTCCTCTGAGGTTTCTGCATACAGTATTTGCTGCTCCCTCTTTGTTCAAATTCTTTTTTGATCTATGTCGATTTGAGACTATGCTACGTCCAAGATTTAATTAGAAACACAATTCTCACCGTCGATGTCTATTTTAGTCTTTTAATCCTTGATGTGAATTTGACCTATGCACGTAGTACTAGGAGGGAAAAACAAATTACGTAGGTTTCAAAGTTTTGAGATGGCTAACTGTCCGTTACTAGATCTTAGAATATTGAAATTCACATTACCCCGTAAGAGTAATAAATATGAACCCTGTTTTTTGTGTTCTGGATATGGTGGGTGACCACATAATGGGTTTTTCCAATTGGATGGTGTCAACCTACCTTTTGGAACTTCTTTCATATTTTGGTACTTCATTTCACTACACTTAAATGTGAATTTGACCTATTCATGTAATACTAGGGGTGACAAAAACAAGTTTCTAGGTTTATTTGGGATGGCTAGTTGTCTGTGACAAGAACTTAGAATAGTGAAATGTATATTATCGAGAAAGAGTAAGAATAAATGAGGCCCTGTTCTTTTTGGGATTTCGATATGGTGTGTGCGCGCGTGCTGGATCATTTTAACCTTTTGGTTTAAGAAAACTTGAAGCCAATTAGAAACCAGAATCATTGCCCATTCTGCTTACTCCAAATCAGTAGCTTGACCAAAGCAATCAATGTGTGTGTGTGTGAGAGAGAGACACGTTGAAGGTGAGGAATTGACATTTATCACTAACTGGAAAAAGGATTGTGTATTGGATCTTTGGTCCATGTCATAGCAGGTGGGCATCAAGACCATTGACTGCAGGTGATTTTGATTAAAGAATAAAATGTCTCATAATGTTCTCAAGTGCGGTGTTAATGAGTAGAATGAGGTGATTTAGCCAGTTCCAATAAGATATTAGCCAATGTTATTAGGTTTTTTTTTTTTTT